AGAGAGAGAGAGAGAGAGAGAGAGTGGGGTGGTTCTGCCTCTTAACCCCTTCATTGCTGAGTGAGGGTTTTCCGTTTATAGAGATAAGATGGCATTTCCAATCAAAATAGATTTTGACAAAGCCGTATTACCTTTCACCTCATTCAAGAATAGGCACCAGTGCAAGTTGCTATTTCATCCTCTAAAACTTCTTCGATAGAGATGGGTGGTTGGCGGGTGCTCTGGTTTGGTTTCCTGTCAAACACGTATCGTACAAATCTCACCTCCTTTTTGCGTTTGTTATTCTTTTGTAGTTCTTTGCTCTAAGAATTACATGTGAAATGCCATGTCTTAGAAAAGCAGTAAACAAGTCCAGTCGAGACAAAAGTAGAAACTCAGTAATCCGAGAAATGGTGGGCACAAATGATGTCATGCATCACATCCAATACCAAAGAATAAAATGTTTCGGACATCTCCTACGATTACCAACACACTATCCAGCAAAATGTGCCTTCATCCAAAAATTCGATGGCAACAAGGCTAGAGGGCGACCGAGAAAGACCTGGATAGATGGAGTCCGGGAAACATTAACCACCCACGGTATCCCCCTGACCCAAGCTCTCCGGCTGGCGACAGAGAGGCGTCTCTTTCTTCCCGCGACACCCAAAAGAGTATAAGCGGCAGATAAAAGTAAAAGTAAAAGTAAAAATAAAGTATTCTTTTGTAACACCTCTAATTTTCAGCACTTATTTGACCGAACTGTGTTGCAAGTGACGTAAAACACATACCTTAAAAAAAACCCAAAACAACAAAAACTGAATAAAACAACTATCTACGTACATATTTACGTACGTACGTGTACGTACCTACCTACCTACCTACCTACTGACTCACCAGCCTACCTACCTACCTGCCTACCTACTTACTTACCTACCTACCCACCTACATACCTACCTACTTACCTACATACCAATCTACCTACATACCTACCTACCTACCTACCTAGCTAGCTACCTATCTCCCCACCTCACCCCTCACTCCCTCCCTCGCTCCCTCCCAGGACGCCATGACCAACCTCGTGAAGATCTCCCGAATCATCCGCACGCCCCGTGGTCACGCCCTCCTCGTGGGTGTGGGCGGGTCCGGCAAGCAGAGTCTCACCCGCCTCGCATCCTTCATCGCCGGCTACTCCACCTTCCAGATCACGCTGACCAGGTGAGTGAGCTTTTGCCAGCAGCGAAAAGTGAACAGAGAACAGCTCTACAGTTTTCTTTAAAATAAAGATAGTATGATAATAATATTGATACTACTGCTACTACTACTGCTGCTGCTGCTGCTGCTGTTGCTGCTGTTGCTGCTGCTGTTGGAGCTACTACTACTACTACTACTGCTG